GTTGTTGTTTGGCGGGTCCAGGCTGGGGATTCGAACCCGCCACCTTAGGTGTACGTGGCTGGCGCCTTAGCCGGTTGAGCTATAGGCACCGAGCCTATATATGTTTTTTAAAGACACAGGGTCTCACCCTGTCCCCTAGCCTGAAGGGCAGTGGTATGATCATAGCTCTCTTCGACCTTGAACTCCTGGGCTCAGGTAGTCCTCCTGCCCCAGCCTCATGAGTGACTGGATGGCAGGCACCAGCTACCATGCTTGGCTTAGAATGGTTTTGGACTGAAAAGAATGCGTGTGAGAGTGTAATTATTCCTATGTGCTGTTCTGAAATTTTGGACAGTTTTTTCCTAGAATTCAGAAAGTGTGTTAGTCCTGGAAAGCGTCAGGAATCATGGCAGCATCCCGATACTTTCCACTTTAGTTTCTTACAATGTGTTTATGAACGTGATTCTTTTTATTATTAGGAGTTTTTGCATTTTAAAATATTTTTTCTAATTATAGTAGTAATGCACACTCATCACATGTCAACTATGAAAGTAAGAATTTAACGGAAAGTTCCAATTCCCCATTGTTCCCTGTCTCCCAAATTCTAGAAGTCATCATTTGAATGACCTTCCAGGCTTTTCTTTACATTTGTAGAAATGTTTTATACCATGCCTTAAAAAAAGTAAAGTTGAGTCATTACTATGTTATAAAACTTTTAATAAGATCTATCTCATACTTTAATTATTGGATCATCTTCAATTGTAGATTCTGATACCACATTGAGTTCTCACTTGATGAATCTTTGGTTCTTTTGCTGTAACAACTCGGCTGCTGTGAATACTTCGTACATGTATTTGTTGACTGTAATTTTAGGATTATTTTCTTAGGATAAATTCATAGACATAGAATTGCCAAGTTAGTGGATGCCCATAGTTTTGATAGACTTTCCAAAAATGTAAAAATTTCTTCCCCCTGGCAGTATAGGACAGCACTCTTCCCCACAACCATGCTAACACAGTATTATCAGGCTCTTAATCTTTGCTAATAGGTTAATAAGAAAAAAAAAATTTCATTTTAATTTGTGTTTTTAAATTATTGGTGAGATTGAGATCTTTTAATATATCATAGGGCATTTATATTTTGCTCTTTCCCTTTTTGTATCTTTTGTCCACTTTTTAGTTTTTAACATTTTTAAAAATAGAGTTTAAGTATCGTCATGTGTTATGAATGTTGATCCTGGGAGCATCCCATCTGCTGCATTCCTCTCCTCCTAGCTTACTCTTGGCTGTAGTCATGGGTTTTTAATTCTCTATCCAGTAGTTAGACATTTTTGTAGTTTATTCCTTGGTCTTTTACTATAGTTTTGGCTTTGACATTATATTAAGAAAGGCTTTCCCAGCAAGATTTTTTTTTTTGGAGTCAATCTTACTATGTCGCCCTCAGTAGAGTGCCATGGCATCCCAGCTCATAGCAATCTCAAACTCTTGGGCTTAAGCGATTCTCTTGCTTCAGCCTTCCAAGTAGCTGCGACTAGGCACCTGCCACAACACCCGGCCATTTTTTGGTTCTAGTTCTCATTGTTGTTTGGCAGGCCCGGGTTGGATTCGAACCTGCCACCACTGCTGTATGTGGCTGGTGCTTTAGCCGCTGAGCTACAGGTGCCGAGCCTATACATGTATTCTATCCATTCATTCATCTCAATTTATTTCGCATTTATATACCAGTCATTGTGCTAGAATCTGGTATCCAAAAGTGAAGAAATTCATCTCTGCTTTCATGGAGTTTGTTTTTTACAGATAATAAATATGCCATGTTAGATGGTAATTGTGTTATGGAGAATAAAGCAAGGTGCAAAATAGGGTATATGTGTGGATATTTCTAAAGAAGTCAGAAATAGTCTCCCTGGCTCGGCGCCTGTGGCGCAAGCGGCTAAGGCGCCAGCCACATACACCTAAGGTGGCGGGTTCGAATCCCCAGCCTAGGCCCGCCAAAAAACAATGATGGCTGCAACCAAAAAATGGCCAAGGGTTGTGGCGGGCGCCTATAGTCCCGGCTACTTGGGAGGCTGAGGCAGGAGACTCGCTTGAGCCCAGGAGTTGGAGGTTGCTGTGAGCTGTGATGCCGTGGCACTCTACCCAGGGGGATAGCTTGAGGCTTTGTTTCAAAAAAAAAAAAAAAGAAATGGTCTCCCTAATAAGATGACATTTAGGCAAAGTCCTGAAGGGAGGGAGTAAAAACAGAAAAATAATTTTACTTGGAAATGTGGTTAAAATTTTGAGGGCAGAGTCCATTTCTTTGGGTAATATTGGGTAATATTGTGGTTAAAATTGAGGGCAGAGTCCATTTCTTTGGATTTGGGTAATATTCAAAAACTATATAGGGCTGAAACATATTACATTCATATTGAATGAATATTAATATATTGAAACATAGGTGCTGGAATAGGTGTGATCATCAGTCTAATTGCTTTTCTCTTTAATATTTCACTTAAAAATAATCATTAATATCCATTAATTTTTTGAATGGATAACACATTGCCATGGTTCAAACATCAAAACCAGGCCAGGCATGGCAGCTCACACCTGTAATCCCAGCACTCTGGGAGGCTGAGGTGGGTGGATACCTTGAGCTCACAAGTTCGAGACCACCTTCAGCAACAACAGCAAAACCGGGTCTCTAAAAAACTAGCCCGGCAGGGAGGGAGGAGGATAGGTAGAAGGAATGTAATTGGTGGGACCACACGTATGGTGCATCTTACAAGGCTAAACTAAAAGTAGAATATAAACATCTTTTTTTTTTTTTGAGACGGAGCCTCAAGCTGTCCCCCTGGGTAGAGTGCCATGGCATCACGCTCACAGCAACCTCCAACTCCTGGGCTCAAGCAAGTCTCCTGCCTCAGCCTCCCAAGTAGCTGGGACCACAGGCGCCCGCCACAACGCCTGGCTATTTTTTGGTTGCAGCCGTCATTGTTGTTTGGCGGCCCGGGCTGGATTCGAACCGCCACCTCAGGTGTATATGGCTGGCGTTATAGCCACTTGAGCCTGAGGGACTGAGCCGATTTATTTATTTTTTAAACATAACTTTATAATCCTAGACATGTTTTAAAGGAAAGCATTGAGATTTCCTTTAAGATCACCCAGAGAGATCTTTTCAGGAGCATGTATCTTTATTTATTTACAGAGTCTCACTATGTTGCCGTCCGTGCACTGTTGTGGCATCACAGCTCACGGCAACAGGCTGAAGTGATTCTCCTGCCTCAGCCTCCCCAGTAGCTGGGACTACAGGTGCTCGCCACAGCACCCGGCTATTTTTTTGTTGCAACTGTTTAGTTGGCCCGGGTCTGGGTTCGAACACGCCACCCTCAGTGTGTGTGGCTGGCGACAGAACCACCGTGCTACGGGCTGGATGGGCACTGAGCTCGACGCGTGTATCTTCAAAAAGAATCGACTGTGCGTTGCCAAAGATCCTCCAGTTTCCCGCCCCAGCTTGGTCTCCAAAGCTAGCCCCAAACCGGAAGTGCCGCAGGGCAGGGGAAAGGTGAACCGGAAACGCTGAGGGCAGCGCTGACTGGAGCCGCAGAATCTCGTCTGAGGTGGCTCCTGACAGTCGCTAGCTAGTAGTTGGGCGGTGTAGGTGGCCTAATCTTCTCATCCGGGGTCCGCTTAAAGGTTTGCCGGACACCTCTGGCTGACTTGACCTACGTTCTCGGCTCTGGTTGCTGAGGGGCCACCTTGCCTTGACGTCTCTGTCGTGTTGTGCTTAGAATCTTCTATCCTGGCAAGCGGGATAAGGCAGCACCTCAGGCTTTCTTCTCATCTCTGCGTGGGCTCCTCTTTGCTTCTCCTGAACCAAGGCTGCGGGTTAGTCATGAACGTCTTGTCTGTTCCTTATAGGAAGCCCATCCTATCCGTGTGCCGTAGGTGCTGTGTGTGTGTGTTGTTCGTTTTAAACCTTGTGTTTGTCTTAAGACTGTAGTGTGGTGACGTCGGTCATTCTTGTGACAAATTTCAAACACCTCCGCCATTCCGAAAGTGTTAAAGAAATTTTATTTTCAGACAAGCCTGGCGCTCAGTGTTTGCAATATTTCAAAACATTCCTGGTGAGTGTCGACTTTTTCTTTGGTGGGTGTTGCTTTGCAGCATGTTTGAAGTATAGTACATGAGTTCCAGACCACCCTGGGCGGTCTAGGGAGACCCAGCTCAAAAAGGACATATTTCCTGCACAGTAAAAAGTCGTGCAAGTGTGTAAGTCACTAAGGAAATTTCTCTCTTTGTTTTTTTATTCTTCTGGTAGTGTTGTTCCTTCTGAAGTGGCTTGTACATTGCAGATTTAAATGGAATTTCCCGGAGAGTGAAATGACTGTCCTGCTAAACCAGACAATGACAAATTGTAGATATAAATTATTCATAGAAAGCTATTCATCTTGTCACAATTCTCTGCTCACTTTGCTTTTGGAAATAATAAGGGTTAACTCTTAAGGCATTTTAAGTTTCTTAAGAATATTCCACTTAGAAGATTGACATCCTTTAACTTTTGATTATTTACTATTATGATTAGTTGTGATCAATTCCTGTAGCTGTCATTTTGTGTACCTTGAAGTAAAATACTCACTGAAATATTTTAACTTCTCAGGAACACCCAGATTGCTAAACCAAAAATAAAATGAAAAATAAAAAAAAAGTTCTGATCCGAAAATCAGTAAATCTTGTGTGGGTGGAGTTTGCTCTGTAACCCTTCATAGTTTCTTCAGCCAGTTTGAATGTTTATGATAACTGTTCCTGGTTTCAAGGTTGTCTTGAAGTAGTTATTAAAGTTTGAAAAATTAGATTTCCCACTTTGATGATTTATAAAGTGTGCCAATGTAGCTTGAGAAATTACTGTAATTTTTATGCTGCTTTATACTTATTCTCAAAATCATGGTGCCCACTAGGCGGCAGCATAGTGTTTTTAGTTTCTTTAGTTGTGTATTTTACAACTGTACTGCTGGTGTGATGGTGTTATTCTGATAGTAATAGATATCAGATGTTGAATACCTTTCACATGCTAATAGCTGGAATAAATCATTTATGTACATTATCTCATTTAATCCTAAGAAACAAATTCCAATGTCTGTGACATAGGTATTCACATTGACATTATTCTCTGTAGGAAAGGATAAATAACAATGCAGAGTAGGTAATTAGACAGCCAATAAGTAGTTGAGCTAGAGTCAAAACTCAGGTACTCACTTCTTCCTGCTAACCAAATTCAAGTTACGGTAAGTTTGACCAAATTGTGAAGGATGCTGCAGTTAAGATGAGAAGTCTGATTGTAGGTATTCCAGAAGAGTTGAGAATTGAGCATTATATGCATATGTACTTTATACATATAATTGAGCATTATAGAATAATGTGCAAGACAGTTGGAGGTGCACTGTGCCCAAAAGATAGTATCTCCTAATTGTGTTCCAAGGAGTACTAGTCCTAGGAGATGCTTCAATAAAAAAAGGTTCTTAGCTTGGCTTCCGTAGCTCAGTGACTAGGGCGCCGGCCACATAGACTGAGGTGGCAGGTTCAAGCCCAGCCCAGGCCTGCTAAACAATAATGACAACTGCAACCAAAAAATAGCTGGGCATTGTGGAGGGCACTTGTAGTACCAACTACTTAAGAGGCTGAGGCAAGATAATTGCTTATGTGCAGGAGTTTGAGGTTGCTGTGAACAGTGATGCCATAGCACTCTGCTGAGGGCAACATAGTGAGACTCTGTCTCAAAAAAAAAAAGGTTCCTGTGGGCAGAAAAGCTCTTGAATTTATTGAAGGCTCTAAATGTTCTTCAGTAAAGGAACTTCTTTAGTCTAACTTTTTTTGAACTCGCAGCATTTCTAAAAACCTTTTTGAATACAGCCCACATTAAGAAATACATTTTATATGTAGGCCAATATAAATACATATGTATATACACCTAAAATAAAATATACATGAGGCAGTACTTACCTTTACCATAAGCAGTGTGCTGTTATATTTTCTATTTTATTTTTTTCTAGTCTAGCCTTTTGTGAAAAAAATTTGAAGACTCATGACATTCATTTTTCTTTTTTGAGAAAGCATCTTGCTCTGTTGCTAGAGCTAAAGTGCAATGGCATTATTATAACTCACTGCAACCTTAAACTCTTGGGCTCAGGTGATCTTCCTGCCTCAGCCTTCCCAGTAGATGAGACTACAGGTCCATGTCACCACACCCCCCTAATTTTTCTGTTTTTTACAAAGATGGGCTCTTGCTGTGTTGCCAGTCTCAAACTCTTGACTGAAGTGATTCTCCTGTTTTGGCCTCTCAAAATGTTGGTATTATAAGCATGAACCACTGCACCTTGCCCATTACATTGGTTTCTTGACTCAAGAATAAAAGATAATCTAGGCTCGGTGCCTGTGGCTCAAGCGGCTAAGGCGCCAGCCACATACACCTAAGGTGGCGGGTTTGAATCCCCAGCCCGGGCCCGCCAAACAAGAATCATGGCTGCAACTAAAAAATGGCCGGGCGTTGTGGCGGGCGCCTGTGGTCCCAGCTACTTGGGAGGCTGAGGCAGGAGACTCGCTTGAGCCCAGAAGTTGGAGGTTGCTGTGAGTGTGATGCCATGGCACTCTACGCAGGGGGATAGCTTGAGGCTCTGTCTCAAAAAAAAACAAAGAGAGAATCACGTAAGCCCAAGAGTTTGAGGTTGCTGTGAGCTGTGATGCCATGGCATTCTACCCAGGGGGATAGCTTGAGGCTCCGTCTCAAAAAAAAAAAAAAAAGACAATCTATAGTTTTATTAATACTACCATGGGATCCCCTTTCTTGGTGAACACACTTTGGGAAGTTGTTTAAGGACTGTAGTTGAAGAAAGTGATTGATGTAATGGTAACAAAGGTTGACAGATAATATTCTTTTTTTTGTTTTTTGTTTTTTGTTTTTTTTTGAGACAGAGCCTCAAGCTATCCCCCTGGGTAGAGTGCTGTGGCTTCACAGCTCACAGCAACCTCCATCTCCTGGGCTCAAGCGAGTCTCCCACCTCAGCCTCCCAAGTAGCTGGGACCACAGGCGCCCACCACAATGCCTGGCTATTTTTTGGTTGCAGCCGTCATTGTTGTTTGGCAGGTCCGGGCTGGATTCGAACCCACCACCTTAGGTGTATGTGGCTGGGGCCTTAGCCTTTTGAGCCACAGGTACCGAGCCAATAATGTTCTTTTATTGGTCTTGAAGACAGGTGAATGAAAACAATGTTTCTAACTGGAAAATTGTTTATCATTATTTATTTATTTTTTGAGACAGAGTCTTACTCTGTTGCCTTTGGTAGAGTGCTGTGGCGTCACAAATCACAGCAACCTCAAACTCTTGGGCTCAAGCAGTTCTCTTGCCTCAGCCTCCCAAGTAGCTGGGACAACGGGTGCCTGCTGCAACACCCAGCTATTTTTTTGTTGCAGTTGTTATTGTTGCTTAGCTGGCTCTGGCTGGGTTCAAATCTGCTAGCCTCGGTGCATGTGGCCGGTGCCACAAGCACTGTGCTATGGGCTTGAACCTATTATTTATTTGTTTATTTTTTATTTTATTGACAGAGTCTCACTTTATCACTCTCAGTAGAGTGCTGTGGCATCACAGCTCACAACAATTTCCAACTCCTGGGCTTAGGCGATTCTCCTACTTCAGCCTCCCCAGTAGCTGGGACTACAGGCACCTGCCATGATTCCTGGCTATTTTTTTGTTGTAGTTTGGTCGGGCTGGGTTTGAACCTGCCACCCTCGGTAGATGGGGCTGGAGTCTCACTCATTCAGCCACAGGTGCTGCCCTGAACCTATTATTTAAAAACCATTAGATTGGGGTGGTGCTTGTGGTTCAGTGGGTAGGGCGCCAGCCCCATATGCTGAGGGTGGTGGGTTTGAACCCAGCCCTGGCCAGCTGAAACAGCAATGACAATTGTATCCAAAAAAAAAAAAAAAAAAGCTGGATGTTGTGGCAGG